CCTGACTGATTTCGTATAAATAATGAGTAAAAATTAATTTACGTGCATCATTAAATTCATTTACAAATAGATAAAAAAAAATATGAAATATGCATTTTAATAAGAATTTTTTTTTTTTTTAATTACAAGTTCATGTTACAGTAACACTTTACAGTTTGTCTACAACAGTGTCAACTTAAATTGTAACTACACTTGTTAGTAAATTACTGATTACACTGCGGGTGTCAAAAAATTTAGACACAAACTTATAATTATCACTGATGGCTTGGAAAAGCATATACACACTAAATATAATTATGTTAACGTAAGGTGCGCGTGTAAAGTACAAGAAACAACAACACGTGTGTATTTTGAAACCAGTGATTAAAAAATTAATTCTTTCAAATTCAAGTACGCTTTTTTTGTATAATTTTTTTTTTCCAATTATTAAATCATGACTGTATGTTATACATTATGCACGTACTGAGTGTATTATAATATTTCTTTTGTAGTACTACATATGGACAGAAAGTCAAGGAAAAGTCGCTGGAGCTTGAAGAAATAATTCAAATCGGATATTCATTAAATTTAATTCACAGGTGACTAAAAAAACGGGCTACCACGACACACTAATCTTGAAAACTGAAAACTCTACATTACCAGCAAGCGAGATGGAAGCTTACCGTGTTACAGTAAAATGACAATATTTTATCCACAAAAGAAATATATTATATTGTTTTTTTGAAGGTAAATCAATTTTGTAAAAAATGTATGTACATATGTAACATTTACTCTCAAGCTCGTACAAATCGTTTATTAAAATGGAATAAGTAATTGTACTTAATTATTGTAGATTTCTTCATACGTATTTTGTTTAAAAAGTAAAATAAAATATAAAAAATTAAAGTTGACACATTAGGAAACAAATGCGTTAATAAAATTTCATTCTGTTAACGTTAAAATCATTCGTTCTTCTTTTGACCTCTTATCTAATACCTGACAATTTCAAATGTGCTAATGTCTATTTTTAGTTCAACATGAATTACTGCAAAAAACTAATCTTTTTTTCTTTTAAAGCT